TGCAACATCAAGCTGAGCATCTACACAAACACCTCCTCTCAAGCCAGCTGTGGTTGAGCCAGCAGCCACAAGCAGACTGCTCCCAATGACAGTGAGCTGGCTTAAAGGATCATGCTACAGCATGGGATCTGAACTGGAGAAGGAGAGAGAAGAGCAGGAAAGACAAGAGATTAACATCTCTGGTTTTACAGCTTGAGCAAATAAAAAACCACAAAATATAAAATCTGTTGATAATATATTATATAATATATGTTATTATCTGTCTGGCCTCAAGACTCTGTGTAAACCCAAGAGAGCTTTACTAACATGATGATCTAGATGATCTTTCGAGGTCCCTTCCAACCCCTATGATTCTATTAGCTTGGAGAAAAGGAGACTGAGGGGTGACCTCATCAACGTTTACAAATATGTAAGGGGTGAGTGTCAGGAAGATAGAGTTAGGCTTTTCTCAGTGATGACCAGTGATAGGACAAGGGGTAATGGGTGCAAACTGGAGCATAGGAGGTTCAAGGTGAATATCCAAAAAAATTTTTTTTCCTGTGAGAGTGACAGAGCACTGGAACAGACTGCCCAGGGAGGTTGTGGAGTCTCCTTCACTGGACACATTCAAAACCCACCTGGATGCATTCCTGTGTGATGTACTCTAGGTGACCCTGCTCTGGCAGGGGGGTTGGACTAGATGATCTTTTGAGGTCCCTTCCAACGCCTAGGATTCTATGATTCTATTAACATGCCTAACAGAACAGATCAGAATTCTACTGCTGTATTGATGGATACAAGAAATCAGCAAGCAATCCATTCCTGTAACAATTCAGGAATAGAAGAGTTCAGAAGTGCCTGAGCAATGTAGTAGAAAATGCAGAATAACCTTGTACAATACACTGATATATTTTTATAGCTCTGACCCTAGTCTAAAATAACATTTTGCTTGGCTAAAGGTATTATGGAGATTTAATTTCTCTTATGCAGTATCAGCACATACTGATTTCCAGTTTTAAAAGGCAGGAAATTCACTCACAGATTCCCCACACCATACTTTTCTGGGCACAGGACAGTAACTCAGAATGCAAAATATACCTGTTCCCACTAAAAACTGGAGTTCACATCTCAGGATACTTAACACACCAAGCTTTTAAGATATTGCGACCACCAAAATACAACTTTTCTAACCTAAACTGTCCTTTGCCACTTGATTAAACCCAGTCATTGGACTACTCCATTTTACTTCATCTCGAAAAATCTGTTTTAAAGAAACTAAGGAACTTTATGAGATAAGAAATCAAACAGAAAAGCACATTATGTTAAACAATTTTAGCATCATCAACATATGCAAAGTTTACACAGAGCTACTTGATAACAAGATATGACAAAAAACTTCCTAAGACTGTCTCTATACCAGTGCTATGCCTTGAGAAACCGACACTGAACAGAAACATGCCCTGTGTTTTTACTCAATTTTTCAACCTACCAGGACTGTCTTTGGCAACAAGACCTTTGGACAAGTCACTCGGTGTAGGAGAAGTCCGGCTGTCCCTTTTTGCTGCGTCAAGGTTGTTACAATATTCCCACCTCTTCTGCTGTAGTTCCTGAAGCCAGTAAGTCATATCCTGACGAGTTGCAGCCTGCAACAGAAAGAACCAGAACACTGAGACCACTGCACGTATTCAGTGTATGAACATAGTAACTCCACGTGCAATAAAAAAACCCAATCCAGATAATTAGCAGACCAGCAAGGTATCACCACCCAAAACCCAGTATCATAGAATCACGGAACGGTTTGAGTTGGCTGGAAGGGACCTTAAAGACCATCTAGTTCCAACCCCCCTGCATGGCCAGGGACACCACCCACTAGATCAGGTTGCTCTGAGTCTCATTCAACCTGCCCTTGAACATTTCCACTAATGTAAGAGGTGTGCCTCCTCCACAATTGCATATCCTTGACTCACATGCCAAATCTGTTTTTCATTAGAAGTAGCCACGTGCATTTTTCTCTCCAGTTTTATACCCTAAGATTAGAAAACACAGCAGCAGCAGCTTGTATTTTACACACAGAGCACTGTGCAAATATATAACTACAAATCTGGCTTATGAAAAAATGCCCCATACATACTCAGGAAGATAAATTTATTTTTTACATTTGCTTAATTATCAGCAGAAACCAACAAATTAATAATGCATAATAATACCTCCTACTTTAATGACTAAATATACATACTGTAGATCATCACTTGATGATCCTATGAGCTAGCTAACATCTATAAAAAGGCCATACTTAAAGAAAAAAAACAACAACATGAATATACGTACAACAAGCCTACAGTCATGAATGTGAGTAGGCAGTAAGTGAGCAAGAATTCAAGCACATCTTAACACTTCAGTAAGAACCACAGCTGTAAGAGTAATTTCAAAGTGTGCTTAATTACAAGCTACAAACACCAAGAAGATACTAAGTCATGGTGACTGACAGTGCAGGTGCTCAGTATGAAAGTGACTTTTATTCCAACATAAATCCTTAGCTGCCAGACTGGAACAAGCATTGGACACTAACAACACAGAATGCTCAGAAGGAAAGGTTAACACTTGCAAAGGGACCCTCATCTAAGCCCTTCAGCTTGTAAGCACACAGAGTGCTTACCTCCTTGCTACTCTCTCTCCTACCTTCTCCCAAGGTTCTTGGTGGCATTGTCCAAGAAAACAATTCATTACTTGGGCAAATGACTGTGTTTTCACTTCAAAGACAACTTAATTTCCAATAGCTCCCTGTTCTATTTATCACAGGTGAAGAGGGTACCTAGTCAGGACATAGCTGCAAAAGAACAAGAAACACCACAGATTCCCTTACAGAGGAAATACACTAAGCATCAGATAGAGCACAGATTGCTCTTCACTTTTGGTATGAGAACAATTCTGGTCTAGTCAAACTCAAGATCCATATACCATTATATTTTGACCCTGAGGACAGCTAATTCCAAGACAGACCATAAGCAATACTGCAAACAAGAACTGAAGCTTTCCCAGGGTGCTCTCTCTGGCTCAGCAATCTTAGTGTTTAACAACAGAAAGAGATTTTCATTTTATGACTTTACTTTTAAACCCACATGAGCTTTAACATCCCTAACATCCTACAGCAAATGGCTCTGAAGCACTGTGCAAGGAAGTCAGAAAACCAACACAATTATTCCTGGAGCTGCTGCTCCAGTTCCTGTCACACATGGGAAGAGAAAACATGCAGAGATCAAGTAAACATTCAGAAATGCAATCAAGTAGTGAAATAAACCAAACAGCGATACAAGAGGGCACTGCACATTCACTTTTTTTGGTTGTTTAGCAGGATATTCCTAATGTATTTATTCTTGCTTGCTCAGAGGAAACCAGAGGAAAACATTTCCCTCATAAAAAAGACATGGGGAAAGAACAGCTTAGAAGTGTCTATGAGGCTTCTTAGAAGGTGTCCAAGAGCTGGATACTGGGAAACATCAATCCACACAGCCATCACTGACAGCTTTGGAATGACCACAGCAGCAGGCTTTAAGTCTCTGAAATCCAGTCTCTTCTTACAGAGTAAACATCTCCCCTTCTGTTTCTAGCACAAAAGTATTTCCTTTGCAGTGTTAAGTCTTTATTCCTGGCAAGTCTGAGGGCCTAGAAGTCCCTTTAGACAGGATTGCACACAGGCCCTGTAAAGCTGTGTTTTACTGGGTGGGATCCAGCAGAAAACCACCAAGAATTCAAAGAGCTTCCACTAACACAGGATGTAGTACTTAATTGGTTCTCTGCTACCACAACACAGCTAATGAGGCAATTCACCTGGAGTTAATCTAAGTTATACCTACAATTAACTGGTGCCCATGATTAGGGCAATCTAATGAGCCTCTTTCACAGTTGGTCCCGTTATACTCTCCCCAACAGCCTTTAGAAAACCATGAATTGATTTCACTGGAGCTGCTCCTTGTTGTTGCTTTTGAATTCCCTACTTGATCTCTGCTGAGCAGCGCATGCTCATCCTCAGTTTACAAGACATGCCACTGTTAAACACTGGCTCAGTGAGCAGTCATGGCCCTTCAGTGTAAAACAGGACAGCAGAGCAGAACAAGTTTCCCACTGCCCTATTTAAGCACTTCTCCTAAGATTACTCTGTAACCTGCTACTGCACCCTGCCTACCTTCACATATACACTCTTCCTTCTCTTATGGAGTTTTACATTACCTTTGAACAATTTTTTTGCTGAGTTTACATCAGCATCTTAATTATTTACTTTACAAGTAGAAGAATATCCTGAGAACCTCTTAAGATGAGTATTGTTTAAACAAAATTAATCTTTGAAGCTTGTTTGGATTCTTTTTTTAAACCAACATCAATGATGGAATGCTATTATCATTTACTTAAAACCATTCCCACACACTCCCCCACCCAGGATGC